TGTGTCAGGAATCAAGGAGTGACCAGAAAGGTGTGGACTGACACAGGGAAACGCAGGTAATATAATACAGTTTATTATTAGCCACCCAGATATATATCTATATAAACGCACAGTGAGCGAACCAACCTTCCACTAATCTTTAGGAGGTGCAGGAACACAGGCGTAGTCAGGGCTGGAGAGGTGGAACGGTCAGGCCGGCCGTAGGGTTCTGTAATGACCGTTTGGTGGTACCTCTAGCGGTCCTCAGGGCAGGATTCCCCAGGGCGCGGAGTCTAAGCCCCAGTCTGCCTTTTCACCAGAGCCCCTGATGGTGGGGATGGACTTGGCGCAGGACTGAGACCAGGTCGCGGCCCCTGAGTACACCTGCTAGTGGTAGGGGGATCCGCCAGAGGTATGTGCAGGTACGGCTGGATCCGTGCAGGATGGATGGATGGCAGAGTAGTTAGCGTGGTCAGACAAGCCGGGTCGGTAACGGTGGAGGCAGATCAGTACAGAGCAGCAGGCAAAGAGTAAACAGGTCACAAGCCAAGGTACAGCAACAGGAGGTCAAACAGCATAGGAGTAGGCAGAAGAATAGTCAGGGATGAGCCAGTAGTCAGAACAGGAGACAGTCAACAGAGATCAGGATCAAGCTGGGTCAGCAACGAAGCAGGAACACAGGATACAGGTACAGAGGCTCATGGGAAAACATACACCAAGGCCCAGAGCACAGGCCTGGTCATGCCTTATATACACCTTTCTGTAATCAGCCCCAGGTTTGGCTGATTGTGAGCTTCTGGCTGCTAAGAGCACCCGCTGGTCAGCTCTCGTACTGCAGCCCACACGGCTGGTGAGTCCCACCACCAGTGCTGAGTCCATTGCTGAGAGCACCCGCTGGTCAGCTCTGGTACTGCAGCCCACACGGCAGGCGAGTCCCACCACCAGTGCTGAGTCCATTCCTGATAGTCTGTCTTACCGTGGACACATGAACATCAAGGCTTTTGGAGATACTTTTGTAACCCTTTCCAGCTTCATGCAAGTCAGCAATTCTTGATCGTAGGTCTTCTGAGAGCTCTTTTCTGCGAGGCATGGTTCACATCAGACAGTGCTTCTTGAAACCAGTAAACCCAAAACAGGTGTGTGTTTTTTTAAGGGCAGGACAGCTGTCAGCAACACATCCAATATCATCACACTGATTGGAGTCAAGGTTGGCTCACTCCTGGCTCCAATTAGCTCTGGGAGAAGTCATTAAGCTAGGGCCTCACATACTTTTTCCTCCCTGCACTGTGAATGTTTACATATGATGTGCAATTAAACCATGGCAACATCTAATGTTTGTGTAGTATTATGTTCAGCAGACTGTGTTCTTCTATTGTTCTGACTTAGATGACGTTCAGAGCACATTTTATGCCCAATTCATGCAAAACTCCACGTAATCCCAAGGGGTTCACATACTTTTTCTTGCAACTGTATATATGGGAACACATACACATATAGCAGGGTTTTTTCAAATTTGACTGCAAAAGTGAAAATACACTTTCAGGTGGATTGTGACATATTTTTACTGGATGATAAAGGTGTGCTATTAATAATATTTAACTCAATTGCTATATGTTATTTAGAGAACACTAAAAAATGAATGGTGGGAGGCAATTAAGGTCAATTGCAAAACTCTATGATGACTCACCAACCTTGAATATGCCAATCAGTACTGTTAACTCACCTATTAAGAAGTGGAACCTTCGGGGATCTCTTAATACCAAGCCAAGGTCAGGTAGACCAAGCAAGATTGCAGTCATAACTGCCAGAAGAATTGTTCGGGATACAAAAGGAAACCAATAGGTAACCACAAGCAAAATACAGGCTGTTCTGGAAAAAGACAGTGGGGTTGTTTTGAAGGAGCACAATATGATGACACTTGAACAAAAATGAGCTGCATGGTCGAGGTGCCAGAAAGAAGCTTTTACTGCACCAATGACACAAAAAGGCCTGGTTAGGCATGTCAAGGTGTTGTCAGGCATATTGTAACTGGGCTTTTTTGTAGCATTGGTGCAGTAAAAGCTTCTTTCTGGCACCTCGACCAAACAGCTCATTTTTGTTCAAGTGTCACCTTATTGTACTCCTTAAAAACAACCATGCCATCTTTTTCTAGAGCAGCCTGTATTTCTTTTGAGGTTGCCTGAGGGGTTTTCTTTGCATCCCGGACAATTCTTATGGCAGTTATGGCTGCAATATTTTTCACAGTGTGTGCGGTGCAGTTATGGCATGCCACTTTTTGTATCGCTTTTTAGGCACATTACTGTTGAACTCCATCAGTAAATGCTTCTGATGAAAGCGCATCAAAGTGCTGTATGCTGCATGCAAAGTTCAATGGTAACACACCTAAAAACATGCCATTCCAAAAATGCACTGCACATGTGAACTGGCCCTTAGGCTTACATCAACAGGCATCAGCCTAATATACTTAACTGTATCTAACAAGCCCTGCTGGCTATTGTCTTTCTTATGCTGTAATTTTCAAAATAAGTGAGCGCTTAAAACAACTAGTATAAAATCACAAAAATTAAAATAAAAGAAGAAGAAAACAGCAGCTGAACACCAAAGAGGTACCATATGAACCTTCTCAATAAAAATGCATACAAGGGAGAGGTGCAGCGCTAACTAAATGAATAAATATACTTATATACTTGATAAATATAAATATAAATCAGTAAAAAGTGCTATTAAAGTGCAAAACGGTGACTAAATGATGGATATAGTCCATATCGTGCTCAGAATCCAAGAGAGTCCTTTAAGAGCTCCAATCCCTGGATTCGTGGATGAGGTGATAAAAGTAAAAATTGCGCACTCACCAAATGCGCAATTCAAATGCGCATTCAAAGCTGATATTCCAAGGTCCTCATATGGATCTGGTCAGATCTGGTCATGGAAAGCCCTCTGTCACCTGGTAGTGTATTCCACACGTAGAAGAAAAGGCCGCTCTGCAGATGTAAAGGACTCCCACCTCTGGTGGTGAGATCACATCCTCACTTCTGACACCACGCTGATAGGTTATATCCTTTGGTAGGTACACTTCTGCTGTCCAGCTTCCGTTCAACCAGAATTGTCAAAGTGCAAACTAGCAATGCGTTGCCCTATTAAAAATATGACGCCCTCTCACTAGAACTGCACATGCACGCTCCCTGGGGCACGCTGCGATTGGTGGTGCACTGTGTCCCTGGGACACAGTGCACCACCAATCTTCTTATGCTGTATGTTGTAAATATATCCATTTGTTCTGTTTGTGGTTTTATATGATGCTTTCACAATCCACAAAGGACATCTTTTTACAATATTATTAGGATTGTTGATAAATAAATGTAACTAGCATATGCTGTACAATCACCGAGTACCCCTGAGGAATTGTATTTTAAAGTGGGGACTCTGGGTAATTGGGAAGACACAAGAGTAGGTTTTCTTAGTAAATGTTCTTTCTTCCCACTAGTACTACCTCGCTTGCTTGCTTTACAAATGATTCTTAAGTTGGAACTATAGGTAAAAGATTTTTTTTTTTTCATTTTGTATAGTGCAAGGCATAGCAGAGCCATACAGAGCATTGTGTTTACAGTGAAGCACACACACAGCCAAGATAGTGAAATAGCACACAGTTAACCCTTTGATCACCTCAGATGCTAACCCCTTCCTGCCCAGTGTCATTAGTACAGTGTCAGTGCTTTTTATTAGCACTGATCACTGTATTGGTGTCACTGGGGATGTCAGTGACAAGTTAGTTTCCCCCCCCCCACTATAAGTCGCTGATCGCCACCATTACTAGTAAAAAAAAAAAATCCCATTATATATACGGCCATTTGTAGATGTTATAACTTTCATGTAAACCAATTAATTACACGTATTGGGATTTGTTTTAGCAAGGACATTTTGGCCTAAATTTATGAGGAAATTGGATTTTTTAAGTTTTTACTGGGCATGTTTAATAGCAAAAAGTCAAAAATATTGTTTTTTTTCTCAAGGTGATTGTAGCCGTATTAGTGCACTTGCGACAGAAACAATTCAGTACTGTCCGTGATACTTTTTTTATTTCCACTAACAAACAATTTTGAGGACAAGCTTTTGGGGAGTGTCCCCTTCTTCAGTACTGCCTGGACCTTGAAGAAGGGGACACTCCCTGAAAGCTTGTCCTCAAAATTTTATGTTAGTGCAAATAAAAAAGTATCACGGACAGTACTCAATTGTTTCTGTTTTTTTTCTCAAAATTGTCGCTTTTTTTATTTATAGCACAAAGAATAAAAACCGCAGAGGTGATAAAATACCCCTGAAAGAAAGCTCTATTTGCGGAGAAAAAAGGACGTAAATTTTATTTGTGTACACTGTTGCATGACTGCAATTGTCAGTTAAATTATTGCAGCCCTGTATTGCAAAAATGGTCTGGTCAGGAAGGGGGGAAAAACCTCTGGAGGGCAAGTGGTTAATATATATGGTTTTTGATAAACGTTTGGGTTAGTGCAGAGATTTCCATTTGTTTGGTTAGGTCTCCAGGCAGTGGTTGTTACAATAAAGTTCATTTAAAAAAAATGGACTGGCGGTCACATGTTTCTTGTCAAAAGTGCAGCCAGACCCCTCTACATTGAGAGCTCCACTTTCGACAGGAAACATGTGACCTTCAGTCCACTTTTTCTTTTTAAATTAACTTTAATGTAACAACCAAAATCGGACTAGAGGTCACATGTTTCCTGTCACATGTAGCTCCAGTCTGTAGCCAGACCCCGTTGAGTAAATGAGGCAGGTAGTTTTGGTTCCGCTTTCAACCAATGTGTACCGAACTAAAGATGGCTGCCTGTGCTTCATTCATTCAGCATAACCATGCAGACATGCAAATATATAGTAAATATTCACATGCTGTAGCTGCTATCGTACAAATCAGGATCTAAAGCTGTTTATTTGATGGCAGCTCTTTGTTGTGATTAAAACATGTCTGCATGTGATTAGTGATGGCTCCACCCCTTTAGGTGTGGGGAGGCAGGAAACTTCAGCTTGCAGCTGAGCATCTGCTGGCAGAACAGGATAGCACAGCGTGTCAGGGATCGTCAGCCATGGCTGCATGCACGGAGGTGAAGGTGCACGGGTATGAGGAGTACTGCAGGGAGGTGGAGAAGTACCGGGGGAGGACGGTGTTCGCTCTGTTCTGTGGGGATAAGAATGAGGACGGGGTGAGCTGGTGCCCGGACTGTGTAAAAGGTGATGTACCCTCTATGTCTACACCATTGCTTCCATGTGGCCATACATAGACAATACTGGAATCCCCAATATCAGGGCCACGTACTGTGATACGTCTGGACAGGACTTGGAAGTCTGCATGTCACTCCCAGGACCTACACCCTCCCATAGGGACAAAGCATATCCCTCCATAGTGTGTACCTGTCTCAGTTAAGAGCACTAAGGGCCAGTTCACACCACAAAAATGCTCTCCGGATTCGTTTTTTTCTTTCAGTTCACACCACACGCAGTTCCGGTGCAATTTTGAAAAATGCAGCATGTTCGACTTTTTTTTTTTTTTCTGCACCAGAAATTGACTGCACTGTTGGGAACTAGGGTCATTGGAATACACTGTGCATGCACTTTTGATGCAGAACAAAACCGCACTGGACTGCATCTAAGGCTAGGTTCACACATATTCAGTTTGCATTTTATTTGTTTCTGCAGCGCTTTTTGCAATGTGTTTTTGATGCATTTTTGCGCATTTTGCCCCCCCCCCCCCCCCCCCCCCAACTTGTTGCTAGGCAGGAAAAAAGTGTCTTACGCATCAAAAACGCACTACATGCTTTTCTCCAGCATCTCTATTGAAGTGTATATTACCACAAATGCAATATTCAGCACATAAACAATCCAGTAACATGGGTAGGATCTGATCCACATACATATTAGACATTGCTCTGTTTGGTGAAGAATGTATCAAAGTTCCCTTAATTATTCAAGCAAAGATCACCCGGATTAATCATTAGAGCAGAGCTGAGTGTTGCTCTTCCTACTGAGGCACACGTGTTTTGCAGTGAACAGAATTGCTTTTAAAGTGAACCCAAGAACAAAAATGTACTATATTGCAGTCCTTAGATGTGGTGGCTGCATTTGTTTATTTCTTGCCTATTACATTTTCTGCAAGTACAGAAAAATACATATCGCTTTACTACATATACAGTGTGTTGGTTACTAACTGTTCGCTGAACTGAAATGTCAAACAATGTTATCAGCTTTCCAATCTTCCGTGAACTATACCAGTGCTTCTTAACCTTTTTTTTTTTTTAGTCAAGGCACCCTTTAAAATGCTGCACAATCTCGAGGCACCCATTACAAAATATAAAAAATTAAAATAATACTTTTACAGAACAAAGCAACATCTGCACATGTAGGACACCCAACATTTAGAGGTGATTTATTCTTCCAAAGCAAATACACCTTTGGACACTGGTACTGACTAGTATTCCATTGTTTCTCTCCTCCCACAGTTTATTTCTTTCACTCATCTAGTGTGACCTCAGTGCATATAGAGAGGAGCAGAGAAGGGAAAAGCAAGGTTACTGTGCTGGTGCCTGTCATGATCACGGCGTCAGATCCCAGAACTTCTCACCAAACTCGTGACCAAAAGACTAGCCGATCTAAAACCGTGATATCACGTGCGTAACAATGCCACACCCAGCTGCACCCTGCACAACGATTTTCCAGCTAATTGGACCACAATCGATATACCGGCAGCCTGAATGCGATTGTAACTGGGTCAGGTTAATTACGCAATTAACCCTTCACACTGCCACCACCTCCTTTTTGTACGGAGAGGAAACTCGGCAATATCAGCTAGAACACTATAATGGTTGAGATAATCGTCTGTATACCACGGTTATACAGAGGCTTAAACAAACACAGCAGCGTTCTCTTTAGAGGCAGAAATACGTAAATTGCAATACAGAGCTATAGAAACAGTTCAACACTTTCAGAAGGAAAGATTTATTACTTAAAGATCAAACGGGTGCAATAACAATATTTACAGAAAAAGATGTAACTAAGATATATATATATATATATATATATATATATATATATATATATTTATATATATATATATATGACCAACAGTACAGCAAAGAGATATCAGGGAGGGGTGAAAGAGTTAAGGTACTTGCCAAAGTCCTGGGTTAGCAGATCCAAGTTTCAGAGCGAGAGGGCACGGGTCTCCCCAGGTGGTACTGATATTATAATGGGAGACCTCTTCAACTCTTAGGCTTGACAGCCTATTTGTAGTCCCCAGCAGGGGGTGTCTCTGAAGTCAAGGACCAATACCCCATTTAGGGCATGGAGGTATGGGTAGATACCTCAACTAGAGCCAAAATCTCTCATAACTCATATTTTGGCCCATAACTTTCCATCTGCACAAGTGACATTCCACCCGCGGGTAGATTATTATGCAGACACGTTTGAGGATTGATTAGATATGAATTATGAAATTATACACTGTACAGTTCACGAGATCTACTTTTCGGCTTTCCTATGTATTCGAGACAATGTGAGTGACCCACCAAACTGCTCGCCTTCTCGTGGCCAATCTGACGATATGTCCGGTTTTTATGCAAGTCTCTCATATTCCAAGATATGAGACGTAGGGGAAAAAATGGATTTTAACAAAGGTTATCTGGTCGTGTTTCCTGGGAATGTTCTTTGAACTCCGGGGAAAGCTTGCTTTATCTTATACAAGGTGTTAAATTGCACAGGTTCTTTGGACAGGTAGGCCCTGGCTCAGAGTGGTGTTTTATAGCTCTGGGCTCCCTGCTGGCTTTAGCCTGTCAGTGACCCACAACCAGATGTCACTGTGGCTGAACAGAGAGGAAGGGGGAGAAATGAGGGGGGGGGGGGGGCATGGCGAACTCTTACAAAATGGAGGCCTGCGTCAGTCTTCTCTGGGTGTACACTGTACAGTGCCTGATGTCCTTCTTTTCTTATCTGATGACATCATTGTTCTGTCGCCAATGGCTAGAAAGTTGTAATGTGCACAAAGAAAACCTGTGGTTTTGTGTGTAACTAAAAGGCAGGCTAGAACCACCTGTTGGCTTGTATACCATTATGGGCAATTTTTAGGCATTTTGTCAAGGCCACCCTGAAGAAAACCTGAAGGCACCCTCTTTGAACTACACAACCACACTCCACCTTATGTAATAAACATGAAGGGGGGGGGGGGTGTTTGTAGTCAAAATCAGCAGTGCAGCCTGGGATGACGACAACTACTTCTCTATAGATTACAGTACGGTAAATGGACATTTGTTCCCTCTTAAGACAGGAAATGTGTTACTAGCAGGATCACCAGGTGTACAAAAACCTGAAAAAAGTGCACTTTTGATTTGAGATTTAGATACGCTTTAAAAAACATTATTACATGTTAAAGATTAATTATGAGGGGAAAAAAAACAGTTCTGGCTCTACTGCACAAAATTCATTGTGGGTCGCTCACTGTACACCTTCTACACTCACAAAATGTCTTGCATGTGCGGATAATTATTCTTATTATACAGATTTATATAGCGCCAACAGTTTGCTCAGCGCTTTACAATATAAAGGGAGACAATACAGCAAGGATACAGTTCAATACAAGAGGGATAGGATATACACACAGTATCTCACAGAAGTGAGTAATATCAGAATCTTCGCTACTCCAATCACAGAATGCCTTCTGTTTTCATTGGCACCAAGTCCCCCTATGGTGTTGCTCACTGCCTTACCCTATGTGACACCACAGGGAGCTTGGTGTCACTGGAAATATACAGCAGCTTCAAAAGCTGATAGGACAAAGAACAGAAACATGGCAGCATTTAAGCTTGCAGGGTTGCATTTGGAAAGGCACTTTAACATTTTTTTTCTGTTTCTAACTCCAATAAACATGCACAGGGCAAACATTCTCCCTAGGTTTTGTTATTTTAATGGGAACTTGTATGAAGTAGGTGTTTATCAAAGTTTGGTTGCAAAAGAGGCACCATTTTAGCTATGACCCATTGATTGGCTAACTCAGTCGTTTGTAGTGCAAGCTTTTGAGGCAGACTAACATCTTTTTTTAGGCCTCTTCTTGCCTGATGAATGAGGTCAGAATGCCTTTAAAATCCAAACTGCAGCAATATTGGAAATGCACAAAGGAAGAGACCCCCGCCTCCCTCCCCCCCCCCCCCGTTCCTTCGGTGCGCCGTCCTTTTTTGTCTTCAAAATCTGTTCTGCCTTATTAGCAATGCAAATTGCATCCTATTGTGAAGAATGTTACCATTACATAAATAAACATCATATTAGAACATATATCTTATCCTCTGTTCATGTTATATCTTTTGCTCTAGCTGAACCACTCATCCGAGGGGAAATGAAGCACCTCCCAGAAAGGCTCAGTCTTCATATACTGTCTGGTTGGAGAGAGAGCATAAGTAAGTCTAAGGCTTAACACACACACACACAAATACCCCCCGACACCAACTCCCACACCCAAACCACCAACGCGTCCAAACCAAACGTTTACAACCAGACCATACAATCTCTAGACTTTAGACCTAATGACATTTTTTCAGTTACTCCAACAGAGTTCATTGTAATGGAGCATAAAATTGATCTGAGATTTTAGAAGTTTTCTCCTTCTGCCCCCCAAGAAAAAGTACTCCTAGTAGATATTATTTTGTCGTCATGGTAAAGGAAGACCCAGTCAAGTTGAACTTGTTTTTTGTGAACGTCCTGGAGGGTTGTCACGGAGTTGTATATCTTGAAAGCTGGACTGTTTTTAAAAAGGCAGTTGGGGTCACAGAGAGGCAGACTTAATGGAGTTCTAAAGGCTCAAGGTTTTTTACACTTCATGGCGTTCTATGCATGAAGGTAACAAATCCTTCTCTGTAGCAGCATCCCCCTAAGTCCCCCTTATTGATCCAGCGATGTGCACTGGAAGTCTCGGCTATCCCTGGACTTTTTCCACCTCTTTTTATTTCATTGGCTTGAGACAGAAGTGGAGCCATTGGCTCCCACTAACTGTCCAAACAGCAGTTAGCCAATGATAAGTTCATGAGAGGCGTGGCCGAGCTGCAGCTCTGTGTGTGTGTATGGACACACGGTAGCAAAGTTGTTTCCCCATCAGCAAGCTGCTTGCAGATGGGGGGCAAAGCCAATGAGAGAAGACACCCTCGGCGGGGGGGGGGCAAACACCAACCGGCACACAAAAACCCCACAAAAAAAAAAAAACAAAACCCAACAGGAGGTATGGGGCCAGTGTACTAGAGTCCAGCAGAGGACCCGAAAAAGAGTGAGGATTTGGGTCTGCTGAGTCTGTGCAAAAACCACTACACACAGCAGGAAAGTATAGGAACATGTTTGTTTATTTGTTTGTTTAAAGAAAAAAAAAATAATGCCTTTATAATCTCTTATTAAATTGTTGTATTAGTCCTAGTGTATGTTAACTTTATGTACTAGTTCAAAGTTTTAAAAGGACTAAAATCTAAACCCTATGTGGCTTAAAGCCAAAGTTTACAAGGACTATAGTGATAAGAAAAAGAGCTTTTATTACAACATAAAAATGCTAGGGAAACACTATCATTTGTGTTAAAACAGTACAAAGACTATATATCAGAATATGCAAAAAGGGGAAATAAAGAGCCACAAAAAATGAGAAAACGAAGGACAGAATTGCAGAAGATAGGGAACAACCCCCACAAATTCTTTCAAATATATTAATAGTAAAAAGGTCAGGTCTGGAGCATGTAGGCCCCTTTAACAAAATAATATAAAGTGGTTGTGCGGGTGTGACTAGGGACACAAGAAGGCCCATATAAATTTTAATGAAATCCCGTTCTTCAGCTCTGTGTATACAAAGGAGGCATAGGGGTTACTATTTGTCCATAATGAGCCATGGTATTATTGGGACAAACAGCCCCAGATGATGCCACAACGGCTCACAATTGATATGAAACCATACTATTTAGACAGAATAAAGGATGAATTAAAGGCACCTGGACGCGGATGGCATACACCCACACCGGTCCTTAAAGAAATCTGAGCTCTGTGTCATTTCAAAGCCCATTGCTTTCCTATATTTATAGGGCCTCTTTAATGACTGGGCATAGTAACAACTGGGGATTGGTGTAAGTGCCAATGGTGTGCCAATAATTAAAACAGGGGTCGAAAATCTTTACAGAGCTAAATTATAGCACCCTGTTAGTTTAACTTCTTTATGTTGGGAAGATACTGGAGGAGTTTAATAAAAGACCACATTATTATTATTATTATTATTATACAGGATTTATGTAGCGCCAACAGTTTGCTCAGCGCTTTACAATATAACGGGAGACAATACAGCAACAATACAGTTCAATACAAGAGGGATAGGAGGGCCCTGCTCCTTGGAGCTTACAATCTAGGAGGGAGGGGCTAGTGGTAAACACAAAAGGTAGTAACTGTTGGGGGATGGACTGATGGGAAGAGTAGAAGATTCCATTATTAGCTGAGGGCAGGATAGGCTTCCCTGAAGAGAGAGTTTTTCAGAGATCGCCTAAAGGTGAGCAGAGTAGGCGATAGTCTGATAAATTGGGGTAGAGAGTTCCAGAGGATGCGGGAAGCTCTGGAGACGAGCATGGGAGGAGGAGACAAGGGAGCTAGAGAATAGGAGGTCTTGTGAGGAGTGGAGAGTATGGTTTGGGTGATATTTAGAGACAAGATCAGTGATGTAATTTGGGGCAGAGTTTTATAAATGGCTTTATACGTTATTGTTAGTGTTTTTGAATTTTATCCGTTGGGCAACGGGAAGCCAGTGGAGGGATTGGTAGAGAGGGGTGGCAGATACGCAATGGGTAGTAAGGTGGATGTCTCTGGCAGCAGCATTCATGATAGACTGAAGAGGGGATAGCCTGCGATGAGGTAGGCCAATGAGGAGGAGTTACAATAGTCAAGGCGAGATATAACAAGGGAGTGAATAAGTTGCTTAGTAGTTTCCGAGGTTAGGAACGGGCGTATCTTGGAGATGTTGTGGAGGTGAAGTCTACAAGATTTAGACAGCGATTGGATTTGGGACTGAAAGGACAGATGGGAGTCTAGGATTACACCTAGCAACCTGGCATGAGGGGAGGGACTGATGGTTGTATTGATTTTTGATGGAGAAGGCGGGGGAGGGGGCACGGGCTGGAGGGAATACTAAGAGCTCAGTTTTGGAAAGATTGAGTTTGAGGAAGTGGAGTGACATCCATTCCGATATGTCACTTAGTAGGTTAGTAATGCCGAGAGGAGACTGAAGGGGTGAGGTGAGGGGTAGAAAGATAGATTTGTGTGTCATCAGCATAGAGATGGTACTTAAAGCCTTGGGAGTTTATCAAGTGACCAAGGGAGGAGGTGTAGATGGAGAAGAAAAGGGGGTCCAAGGACAGAACCTTGAGGGACCCCAACAGAAAGAGGAAGTGAAGAGGAGGAGGCAGCATTATAGGCAACGCTGAAGGAGCGGTTTCTAAAGCGAGCAAAATCCTTCACAGTAAGAGCTGTAAAAATGTGGAATAGACTCCCTCAAGAGTTGGTTCTGGCCAGCTCAGTGGATTGCTTCAAAAAAGGCCTGGATTGTTTCTTGGATACACAAAGTATAACTGGATATTAACATTTTTAGGTAAAGTTGATCCAGGGGGAATATCCTGATTGTCCCTTGGGCATAAGGAAGGAATTTTGTTTTCCCAGCAGGTAGCAAATTGGATCGTGCTTTGCTGGGGATTTTTTTTTTTTTTTTTCCTATGGTTGAACTGGATGGACTTTTGTCTTTTTTTTCAGCCAGACTAACTATGTAAGGCCAGGTTCACACCTGCACATTTTTTATGCATTTTGCAGGGACGCAGAGCATGCTTTTTATCATGATTTCCTATGGATCACGTTCACATCTAGGTGTTTTTTTTGGAAAGGGTCAGGGACTTCTTTTTCTGCAGCAGTTTGCTTTTTAGTCCAATAGACTTCAATGGGAACCTCATTTAAAATGCAAGTGCTGTGCTTTTTTTTGTGTTTTTGATGCTTTTTTTTTTTGCATTTTTAATTTGCCCAGCAACAAGCTGGATCAAAAAAAATTTAAAAAAAAGCATCAAATGCACATTAAAAAATGCAAAATGGTTTTGTGGCATAGCTTAACCCATTCCCACCTAGCCACCATCAAAATGACGGCCGGGCAGGATGTTCATCGATCCCCGGTGGGTGTCCATTGACGTCCTTTCCGAATCACACCGCCTTGTACACACCTGCATTGCCGCGCTGCGGCAAGATCTGTCACCTGCTGTGTCCATTGGACATGTGACCAATCACAGTAGGTCACATGGCCATTGTAAGCAATGGATGACTTCCTTGTATGCAATTGTGTTGCTAGCTGTTATTGGTCACAGTAATCGCATGGCATAGACTGGGCCAATCACAGCCCATCTGTATCTTGTGATTAGCTGTGGCCAAAAAACACATAATGAATTGCTTTAAATCAGTTAATGCTTGCCTATATCAGTGAAATTCATTTCTTAGGCAATCATAATGTGTAAAAAACAAAAAATACTGATAACTTCTACAGTGTAGTACAATGTTACTATGGTAACAATATATTACTCTGGTCAGTGTTTTATGAGAAAAAAAAATTGGTGACTGTGAAAAAAATATATCTTTTACTACACATTTTTTTTTTTTTTTTTCCTTTTTTACAGTCAATGTCCCTGATCACTGCCACACCAGTTATATGATGAAACTGTACTGAATTGGTGACAGTATGTTAAAAGAAAATGGTGAAAAAATTATTTTTTAATTTTCCAAAACAATGTGACAAATTTACGTAGAAAAACTCACCATGCCTCTTACTAAATACCTCGGACTGTCTACTTTCCAAAAAGGGGTAATTTGGGGGATATCTGTACTGTCCTGACATTTTTGGCCCTCAAGAAATGAGGCCGTCGGTACATCAGGATTGATCGATTTTCAGATATATGTCACAGTTTGTGGACTCTATAACTTTCCTACAGACTAAGAATGAAACACTGATTTGGGTTATTTTCACCAAAGAAATGTAGCCGTATACATTTTGGCCTAAAATATGGAAGAAATATTTTTGCAAAATGTTATAGCAGAAACAAAAATGTGATATTTTTTTTTTTTTTTTTTTTCCCTTCAAAAGTTTTGGTCTTTTTTTTTTGCCGTTTTATTTAGCAAAAATTAAAAACCCGGGGGTGATTAAATACCACCAAAACTATGCTCTAGTTGTGTGGACAAAATGATAATTTTGGTTACAGTGTTGCATGACTGCGCAATTGTCATTCAAACTAACAGTGCTGAAAGCTGAAAATTGGTCTGGGTAGGAAGGGGGTAAAAGTGCCTGGTATTGAAGTGGTTAAAGCACCATTTTTTTTTTTAACCGCTACTTACTGGGTTGTGACTTATGCACAGTTCAGATACTCGCCCACCGAGCAGATCCAGTGATGTCTTGTGTGACATCATTGGGAGGCTGCTGGCTCTTCCGGTCTCAGCCGGTGGCCCTTCCAATGATGTGATGGCAAGGGTAGTGCTAGGTGCACTGACTGATTTAGATGACATTGACTAAAATATTAAAGGAGAAGTATAGCCAAAGCTCTTTTGGCTGTACTTCTATGGATCACAGGAGTGCAGTTTGTTCTGCACTCCTGTGTCTCATTTTCAGCCGATCGTGGGCTAAAGCCTGCTGTTGGCTGACGTCACAAAGCTGGTCCAGGCTCTGAAAAGATACCGACTATATGGTTGGGGGTCACACAGATGCCTGGACCTGTAGCTGCTTCAGGCTCTCAGCAAGTCTCTCCCACCCCCTCCACAGCCCAGCACTCCAGTGAGTGCTGGAGGGACATTGAAGAGAGCTGGTGACTGACAGTCACCAAATCTCTGCAGCCTGAAGACTGAGAGCTGAGCAATGAGTGGTCTTTGATTGCTCAGTTGTGGGTCTTAGAACCAGCGGGATACAGATACAGCATCAGGCTAATGCTAGAACCACCTACATGAGTATTTTTTTTTTTTTTTCTTTTTTTGCTGAAAACCAAACTTCTCTTTTAAAGCCAAACTCAAGTTAACACTTTTTTAGGCAGTTACAACCATATTTATTCTTTTTTTACATAAAGTTTAACATGAATGACTAAAAGATGAACATTGTAAGCACCCCTATCAGGAATCATGCAAATGGATTGTTTTGCCTATTGCCATCTAATCCCACCATTTTGGGGCACCTGGAAGGCACATGTGCAGCATCTAGACCTACTTGAAGCCTGTCAATAGCTACCACTAACCCCACACGTGAAACAAAAGCCTGTTTTTATCATGTAGTATGCTGCCATATATAATATGTTTGACTTCTTTTACCAGCAGCTAGCACTGTCTTGGAAGCTGTAGCCTGTCAATCACCTTGGAGAGAAGTAGCTGGGGAGTGGTTTGCATTCTGGACTTCTGTGCTGCTTATGGGTGTAGGCACATGGAGCGTGTCAGGCTGTAGTCCCAAGCAGGAGCATTCTTGTAAAGGTGGTTCCATGGGATCCTGGATGGCAGCAGAGCCACCCTAAAAATGGAAACTGAGGGGTGTGATATTTTAAAAAAAAAAAAAAAAAAAAAAAAAAAAAAAAAAAAAAATCGAGTTGCTGCAAACAGAAGTCAGACATGAAAAAGTGTAAGTGCAAAAGTACGATGCGGAAAACCACTTTTCATGTAGGGTTAATAAATATTTTAAAGCCTGGAATATCCATACAAGCCAATGTATTCAGCATAAAGTCAGAACACATTACCTCCTTCAAGGTCAGTGTCTTATAAAGTATTGAAGCCTCCAAATCAAAGTTACAGGCAACTAGCATTTTTAAAAAGACCTTTCAGCAATGGTAGCCTACTTATTTTCTCTGTAAATGTTTTATTTATTTTAATGTTGCCTCCAACATGCAATTTGTCATTGTGGCTTCATGTTGTAAGTCCTTGTCCACATAACTGTTAATAACGAATTTACTGTCTGCTTTCATGCAGCTGGAAGGATCCAAATAACGATTTTAAAAAAATCTTGAAACTTACTGGTGTTCCCACTATTCTTAAAGCTGGAACGGTAAGCTTATTCTTATTGAGTTTTTTTCATAAATTTCTCCATTAGAACTGCACTGTGTCAACAAACTGCCTGCGGAAATTTTTTTTATTTGCATTTTATTATTATTATTTTTTTTTTTTTTTGAGTAATGCCAATCGACAGTGCTGGCTAAATAGAGAACACAAACTGCATGTGTACAGATAGATACAAATATACTGTAGATTGCTTTTTTTCAATCAGTTAAATTAGTAGTGATCTGCTAAAACCACTAGGAAATGTTAAAGCTGTACTAAAGTCAGGAAGTCTTCACATGTAGGATAGGTGGGTCTTCTTCCTGATCCTGAAGTCTGCGTTGTGCAACTTCCTGCCTGTTTTGCTGAATGTATTGCATTCCTATTTATACTTTCAATGTAGCTCTGATTCTGATTGGTGGCATTTAGAAAGTAGCTCCACTGAACATAGTTCTGATAGATTGATACATGGCCATACCGCTGCTACATATTTATTTGGCACAGAAGTATGCTTTATGAATATGAATTACTCTTCACTGGCTTGGGACTCTAAAGCTGACAGAGCCCAATAAAACTGAATGAGAAAAAAAGTTGGTAGAAGAGACTGGTCACATGGGCTGTCAGGCATGTAACCGGCTATCTTCCAATCAAGAAGTTCTCTCTGCTGCACTATAAGGGAAAGCAGATGGTGGGTACTGCTATCCACTTTCCATTATACAGCAGCAGAGAGAACTCTGTGCAAAAACAGACCAAAATAAGCCATGCAAACTATTTTCAATGTTTAGTGAATTAGTCTGTTTTTAAGCAAGGGTTTTGCCTATCATTGCTTTTCCTCTGCTGCTGTTTTGGGTTATGCTAATCTCTTAACTCTTTTCCAGGCACAGAAACTGACTGAAGAAGAATGCTTTAAACCTGATCTAATCCAGATGCTGTTTTCAGATGAATAAACATTTTTGGAAAGTGGTTGTTTGGGAAACTATTCGATAACTTTATACTGGGAATGTATTCAAGTAAAACCATTGTGTGCTTTTACCAAACATGGAGTACGCTGGTTCAATCATTGCATGAGCTTTAGGCCTCATGCACACAGCCACTTAGCAGTCCAGTGTGCTGATGTGTAAAATTTCCAGCACTTTCTGGTACTTGGTAAGCTACAAATACCATGTACAGCTGCCAGTACAAGTGAATGACTGTACGAAGCCGTGCTCTGGTAAATGCCACTGGCTTCTGATCAGCATTTACTTATTCGTGTGTCGCTTCTCCCCAAAGTGACATGTTCATGGAGAAGAACCATATGCACACATGCGGGTAAATGTGATGCGAAATCGGTATTTACCTAAATGGCCACATAGTCATTCACTTGTATTGGCTGCTGTACACAGAGTGTGAGCTTCCCTGCGCACCAGACAGTAGCAGGTTTTACACCTCTGCACACAGGAGTTGCTAAGAGTCCATATGAATGAGGCCTTGGTCATATTTCTCAGCATTTGATTTTTCACTTGAAAAGAAATAAGTTGTGCTTCCTTGTTCTGCTGGCAGGACTTATAGAAATGCAAATTTCACATTTCTTTTATAGGATCCATTTATAAAGCGCAGCTGGGTTCCACACAACTATATCTACTTTTTATACTCCTAGCTATACATTCTGTGTAGGTTATTTGAAAAAAGTATACAACTCCTAAAAGTTTTTTTCTCAAAAATAAAGTTTAATTAAATTGTGATTCAGGCTAATAAAGCAAATGAGAATTTCAATCTGTATAATAAAGAAATAAAATAAATCCAGTGTGTTTTATGCTTGTGTAGGTTGTCGCTGGGCATACTGTGCATTAGAAAGCATATAATAGGAACAATCATGGGGCTTTGTCAGTCAGTACTTCTTTTTGTTGCATTTATGATCCGTGTGCTGACAGAGTATTAGCTTAGTAATATATTCACTGGGGAATGACAAAATCCTGTCACTTATCGACTGTTTCATTATACTTTGTGTGTTTAGGAATTTAAAGAAAATCAGTATTTATGGGACTTGAATGGGCAGACCATAAAGGCAGCCATCATTGTATGCACTTATTTTTTAAAGCTGTATTTTATATTAACCACTTGCCCTGCTGAGGATTTACCCCCCCCCCCCCCCCCCCTTCCTGACCAGCCATTATTTGCATTGCGGCTCTGCGTTACTTTAACTGACTATTGCGCGGTTATGCAATGCTGCACCCAAATGACATTTATGTCCCTTTTCCCACAAATTGAGCTTTCTTTTGGTTGTATTTGATCGCCTGTGCGTGTGGGTTTTTTTTTTTTTTCTTTTTAATTTTTTGCACTATAGAAAGACAATTTTGAGTAAAAAACATTATTTTTGACTTTTTGGTATTTAAACATGTCCGGTAAAAAAATGTTTAGAAAATCAAATTGTCATAAATTTACAGCAAAATGTATTCTGCTAAATGTCTTTGCTAAAAAAAAAAAAAAAAATAATCCCAATACGTGTAAATTAATTGGTTTACGTGAAAGTTATAGCATTTACAAATGGTGGTGTATATATACTGGGATTTTATTTATTTTTTGCTAGTAATCAGCAACTTATAGCGGGACTGCGGCAGACATTCTGACACGGGGGGGGGGGGGGGGGGGGGGGGGGAGAGAAATGACTTGGTGTCACTAACATCCCCAGTGACACCAATACAGTGATCAGTGCTAAAAAAAAAAAAAGTGCTAAAAACACTGACACTGTACTAATGGCACTCGGCAGGAAGGGGTTTAACTGTGCGCTGGGAGTGTTTTTTACTAGGGGGCTGTGTCAGTGTGCTTCACTGCAACCACACTGCTTTGGATGGCTGTACACAGCCATCCAAAACAGTGTGCCCGAGCTGACAGGGAGGAGAACTGTTAGTAAACAAAACAGTTCTCACCATCAGATATCCTTAGAAACCACTGGGCGCTGGCGAGTAATCACCGGCCAGCACTCGGTGATTGACGGCCACGAAGGACGGCACGGGTAGGGGAGCGTGCACGCCCCTACCCGGAAATGCAAAGTCATATATATGTGATTTTTGCACACCTGTGCCGCCCTGTAGCAGTATTTCTGCTATAGGAAGGTTGTGAAGCAGTTAAAAATAGCCTGGTATATTTTTGCAAATGTGTAACATTCAAAACCGTTAATACATGTCTGTTATCCGCCAACAGCTAGGAAAACAGTATGTGGACATACAGGGCTTCCAGGAAGTTGTGTACCTGAATGGCAATGACTTTATCTAAACAATCAGCAGCTCATAATGATAAACCATCTCCTGGAATGGTCTACCCTTCATTCTGAACTCCTGTGAACAGTATTCGGCTGACAGCAGGCTAAAGGCCACTGTTTGCTGACGTCACTGAGCAGGTTCAGGCTCTGGAGAGATTCTGACTTTCTGTCGCGCTCCACCTAAATGCCTGTACCAGCTGCTGGCTCAGCCTCTCAGCGAGCCGCTGAGAGTCTAAGCCACCTGCTTCTGCCCCATCCACAGGCCAGGAGGGGTAGAGTAGAGAGTTGGTGACTGTCAGTAACTGAAGACAGAGAACTGAGAGATCAGTGGTCTTTGATCGCTAGGTTTCGGTATTAGACAGGAACAGATGCAGCATTGGATTGTGTTGGGTTTTTTTCTTTTAAAGATTAACTCTGGGATAAGTATATATTGCCTAAATCAAAGGGGCATGGGTATTCTTACACAAATCTTGGTGTGTTTTGTGCATGTCTTCCAAACCTGTGCAGTAATCCAGAGTGAAACTTTTCCTCTACTTAGCAGGGTAACTGTTCTTGTATCCACTCCCTCTTGTAGTAGGAGGGCCTCTCCCACAGCTCTTCTGTTTGCACAGGCTATGTACAGGACAGTGTTGTCATCCCAACTATTACAAGGTAATAACTGGGTATGTAAAGTCATTTGTGCACACAAATAACCATTAATAACCAATTGGCTATTAAGGAATATACACTGTTCAACAAAATTAAAGGAACACTTTTTAATCAGAGTATAGCATCAAGTCAATTAAACTGGGATATTGATCTGGTCTGTTAAGTAGCAGGGGGGGTTGTTAATCAGTTTCAGCTGCTTTGGTGTTAATGAAATTAGCAACAGGTGCACTAGATGGGCAACAATGGGAAGACTGCCAAAAAAGGAATGGTTTTTACAGGTGCAAGTCACTGACATTTTTTTCCCTTCTCATCTTTTCTGACAGTTTTTCACTAGGCTCAATGTCATTACTGGTAGCATGAGGTGATACCTGGACCCTACAGAGGTTGCACAGGCAGTCTAACTCCTCCAGGATGGCACATCAATACATGCCATTGCCAGAAGGTTTGCTGTGTCTCCCAGCACAGTCTCAAGAGCATGGAGGAGATTCCAGGAGACAGGTAGTTAATCTAGGAGAGCTGGACAGGACTGTAGACAGTCCTTAACCCATCATCAGCACCGGTATCTGCTCCTTTGTGGAACAGGATGAGCACTGCCAGAGCCCTACAAAATAACCTCCAGCAGGCCACTGGTGTGGAGTAACTGCCTGTCTCCTGGTATCTCCTCCATGCTCTTGAGGTTCTGCTGCCTATCTTGAGGTGGGAAAATGGCAGGGCAGTACAAACCCCCTCTCCTCCAATGACCCTTTTTTGGAAAGGACACCCCAAGAATTTGCTGAGGCATGCTGAGTCCATGGAACGTTTTATTTTTTGTCACAAATTTTGGGAAAATGACAAAAAAAAAGTTTGTTTTTTTTTTACACAAAGTTGTCAGTTAAATTATATATTGTTTCTGGAAGGGTTGATCCCTGTTGCCTATCCAATTTCAGAATGAGCCAATGTTTATGTATTATATTCTAAAACTTTCTGTGCTGTATGTTGTAATCTAAGAGTATAGCTAAATCTTGTTTTTTTTCCCCCTCCTTCCCTGTGCCTCACTGTAGTAGCATATTCTGCCTATTTATGCTAGTGACCTGGTTGATTTGGTCCAAAATGGAGGATTTTTAAAATCCCTTTTGGAGGAACTTGTTCATCAACATTTTTACTTACTGTGACAGAAACAATTGAGTACTGTCCGTGATACTTTTTTTATTTGCACTAACATACAATTTTGTGGACAAACTTTCGGGGTATGTCCCCTTCTTCAAGGTCCAAGCAGTACTAATCACAACGTTTTAGCAGAATGTTAGAAGAGATGTGGGGGATGAAAAAGAAAAGCAAAAAAAAAAGAGAGACTAGAGATAAGACACAGCAAAAGCAAAGACTGGGGGGGGGGGGGGACAACACTACAGAGGGAGTCATGCTTGAGGTGATAGTCATAAAACTTGGATAATGATTGAGGACTCCCATGTCCAAATTAAAGCCGTTATCTCTTGTGTCAAATAGAGTTATCATTCTTAGTTCAAATGTTTTTCTTTCCTGAATGGATTTGAAATTTCCTTTAAGAACTAAAATATTGAGGTCTTCCATTAACTTCCATCACCTCATTGCTTACTGTGAGAAATCCTCTTCTTTCAAACAATTCCTCTTTAATCTTATTAGTTGCCCTTTAAGTAACAACTATCCTGAGAGACATAACTTTCCTATCTGTTTTCCTAAATTAGTTGGTCTTTATTATCTTGTTGTTTTCGATATTCAGGGCTAGATCCAAGTAGTTGAATTCCTTATCACTTATGGTCCATGTCAGTACTATATTCTTGTTTTTAGTGAGGGGTTCCCATAATAAACCACTAGATGGCACATTCTCCATAACTAATTTATTTTAGTGTCCTGTGCATTTTGGAGTTATTTATGTTTTTTTTATGTTTATATTTAGGATCATATAGGTTTTTACCACAGTAAGCAATAGCCAGACGTCGGACCCCGCTAGAGTACTGTATTGCAGCTGCACACATTGTCTCTTAAAGGAGCTTTGACCCTATATTTGATGTAAGTCCAATTCTTTTAATAAATGATTGGACACAC